ACTAACGTCCGTCCATGAACTTTATAATTACTCATCCGAGTGCATCTCGATCTGGGTGGGGTCTAAACGAACGCGCTCTCCGGAAATTGCCAAGTATTGCTGTCTCTGGGTAAGAAGTACACCCACCTATAACTCCAATTGTTGCTTTTTATAGAATGTTCATTTCAAAGCTAAAAGGCTATTATTATTAGTATACTAAAGTTTATAAGCTAGACTTATAAGAAGTAGTATAACTAAAAAAAAAAAAATATTAAGTTTAAAGTAAAAAAAAAGGTCTTATTATTAACTAAATTTATTAAGTAAAAATAACTATTAAAAAAGTTAGTAAATAAGTATTTTAGACCTTTTATAGTAATATAAGTAGTTATTAGTAAGAAAGCCTATAAGCTAAATATAAAAATAAAGTATTATATTTATAATATATTCTTATTATTTTAGCTAAAGAAGTTTAAAAAAGTACTAGTAAAGCCTTAGCCTATCTAAATTAAAAATAAAAAGATATATATAAAGTAAACTAAATAGTAGTATATAAAGGATTATAATAAAATAAGTAGTATTTTATTAAATAAAAAGAATATAGTAAAAAAAAATTTATAAAAGCTATAAAGAAATATATCTAAGGATTTATAGTAAGACTATAAGTAAGAGGTTACTAAAAAAGTATAAAAAAAACACTAAGTAAAAGTAAGTACTTAGCCTAAAAGGCTAGATTTTTTTAATTATTCTTTAGTACTAAGGCTAGGAAGTATATAGCCTAAAGGCTAAGTATTTAAAGCTATAGTAGCTAGAAAAAAGAAAATAAAACTAAAAGAGGGCCTAAGGGGGAGAAGTACTAAGGAGGTAGTAGTGCCTACTTCTTTTTTTTATTTTTACTTTTACTAAGTATACTAAAAGCTATATTACTTTTAGACTAAAAGTTAAGGTTAGTAGTATACTAAAATAAAAGTTAGTAACTAAGAAGTAGTAAGAGGTTACTAAAAAAGGGAATAATATATAACTTAGGAGTAAGTAGTAGCTTACTTAAAGAAAAAAGCACCTTAGGCCTTAATAGCCTTAGTTTACTCCTTAAGGAGTATATTTTAGTGCTAAAGCACTATAGTAGCTACCTTAGCTAACTTAGCTAAAAAGGTAGTAGTAGTAATAGAGGCCTTAAGGGCTATAACCTTATAGCTATAAAGGAGCTACTTCTTCTCCTTAGCCTTAGCCTTACGCTTAGTGTTAGGAGCCTTAGTAGTATTTACTTTTTTTTAAAAGGCTTTTTTAACTATAGTCTAGATAGTAATAACCTCTTTTTATATAAAAAGTTAGTTAAAAAGTAGTTATAAGGTATTTAAAAAAGATATACTTTATAGTAATAGTAGTTAGTATATATAACACTATTATAATAAAAGGCCTTAAAGATATTCTTAAAAGTAAAAGTAGTAAAGGTTATAATATAAGTAGCTTATAAAGAGTTAGTAAAAAGTTACTAAAGTACTTCTTACTAGTAAAAAAAAAATAATAATATAAAAATACTTATATAAATATAGTTTTTACTATATATCTTAATATACTAAAAGTACTTATTCTTAGTAGCTAATAGTATAATTAGGACTAAGATATAAGTAAAAAAAGGCCTTTAAGAAGCACTAAGGTGTTAAATACTTACTAGTAGTCTTAAGGTAATAAGAAAACTTAGCCTTAGTGTTAGCTATATTTATATACTAAATAAATATAGCTTAAAAATAGTAGTAGTATAAAATAAAATAAACTATAGTATAGTTATTTTTATTTTTTTTATTTAAAAAGCTAATAAACTAAAAAGGTAATAAGAAAGTAATAGTAAGGCCTTTAGTACCTTTAAGGGTAGTAAAAGTAGTAATATTAGTAGTATTAGTAGTATTAGTAAGTATAATAATAAATATAATAGTAGTAGTAAAAAAGCTAGTAGTATTAGTATTATTACTAATATTATTACTATTACTATTACTACTAAGTAATAATAGTAATAATAGTAATAAAAAAAATAATAATAATATAAAAGTATTATAAAAAAAAATAAGTAATAAAAAAATTAATAAAAACCTAAGTTAATTTAAATTACTTATTTTAAATTAGTATTAAGAAAAAGGCTAGTTATAATAATAACTTAAGCTTATAAAGTTAAAACTAAATAAGCCTTAATAAGAAAAGCTAACTAAGACTAAAAAGTTACTAGTACTAACTATAAAAAGTAAAGTAAAATTTTTTTTTATTATAAAAGTAATATAACTTAAGGCTTAATAAATAGTTAATAAAAAAACTAAATATTATAATAATAAAAATAATAAAAAGTATATAGTACTTAAAAAAGTACTATAAAGTTTAGTTAATAAAAAGTATTAAAAAGTATTATAAGTAAATAAAGTATTTTTATTATAAAGTAAATAGTCTTTTACTAAGTAAAATAATATAAAACTTATACTTTAAGCTAAAAAACTAGACTATACTAAGAAGGTAGTAGTTAGGGCCTAAATAAAATATAATAGTATAAAAATAAGGCTAAAAGTAAATAGTTAGCTAAAAAAAATAACTACTTATTTAGTAGCCTACTAGGCTTAGTAAGTATTTCTAGACGTCTTTTAAGATACTAAAAAATAAGTATAAAGTATAAGGTTTAGCTATTAGATAGCCTAAGTAGCTAATAAGAGGACTACTAGTAAGTAGCCTACTTAAGGCCTTAAGAGATTAAGAGTTAGGCGTAAGGCTTAGCTATTAAATAGTCTAAGTAGCTAATAGGGGGGCTACTAGTAGATAGCCTACTTAAGGTCCTAAGGGCAGGACCTTAGAGGGGGGAGATTATATTAGGTGCCTAGAGCAGGGCCCTAAGGGGGCACTAGAGTAAGACTAGGACTAGATAAACTAGTTACTAAAGGAATAATAAAAGGGGAAAACTTTATAGAAAATAGGGGTTAGAGGAGGTATATTAGAATAATTATTATAATTAAACCCTAACTACGCCTATTACTGACTCCTTTACTTAATACTATCCCTGCCTCTAACACTCCTACTATTTTGTTATTAGTTCTTACTTTACGGTCGTAAGCCTATGCTTTCTATCTGCTATACGTATAATTTACTTGAAAACCCTATGGAACTAAACAGACCCTGGCGGCCTGGCCAAGGCTCTGCCGAGGACGAGTTTGTACAAACCCGTAACCGTTTCGAGGTGTGTACACAATGCTGTTGCCACCGGGAGACGTAATTAGAACCCTGCCTTAACAAATAATTAGAATTCTCGCTCGTCTACTGCTGCTGTTTGCTAGGTATTCAGCTTGATCTGAAACCCCAGGTTATTGTCCAGTTCACAAACCTTGTCACATTTGTAATTCCCAACCAGATATTTCCCTGTGACTGAGAATCCTCTCGCCAAAAATCACGATCTCTTTATGTTTGTTTATTTTTTTCGCTACATCCAACCCGCGACGTCGGCTACAACTGCTTAGAACGTTTTCAATACTTCTGACCGCTGTCCATGACCGAACTGTAGAAGGCGTGAAAGCTTTTGAGCGGAGCATATCGTCCTTACCAGCTGGCAAGATTTGAACATCTATTCGAGCATCCTCCTCAGCACCGCATTCCATGATGGTAGAACAACCTGCAACTTGCGATCCCGTTCGACATTCTCCCTTGCAAGAAGTTATCTCACCTGGACAATATGCCATCACCACATTATGTCAACCTACAACTCCTTCTGTCTCTAAACCAGTTTCGGCAGAGCCCAAAGCCACCAGCACAGAATACGAAGAAGCAACGATAACAATGAATCGAACACGATCGGCTCATGCGCTGGCCGACAGAAGCCCTTATCCTCGGCTGCTTTGTCAGTGTCGAATCCTCGTCATGCACGACCCTTGCGACGATATGCCATTTAATGTTCCTCTTCACGCAATCAGTTGTCCCAATAGGCTGCAAAATCTACTCAGCGAGAAAACTGGAAGCATTGGTTGTGTTCACGGATATAGCAAGCTTGCGATCGATCGTGTGCATAGACGGGCAACAGTGAGAAAGCGACAAGAGTGGAAGTCTTCGAGGGGCTGCGAAGAGAAGAAATCATTAGAGCAGATCCTGGCCTCACTTTGAGTCAGAAGTTGACATGACAACAGCTGGCCTACCAGAATCGCTATCAAGAAACTCGAGACTCATGCATCTGATCTGCTCGAGGAATCACGCAGTAGGTAGGAGAGTAGGTGCTCTGTACGTCGTCTCGGTGATGGTGAACATCATTCTTCTTGGTTATTCAATAGACCTAAACAGAGTATATTCTCCGTCTTTTTCTCCCTATCATATCGATTGATGATGGCCACTATAATAACCAATGTCAACGGACCAGGTGTCCCATGTCTCTCGTCTTCTGCCGCGGCCGGCGACACAGCCCTGTACAGTCGATTCTAATAAGAATCTTGGTGGTACCAAGGCTCACAAAACTGTGATCAATAGAGTCATCAGCATCAGGTCTTCGCGCTGTGTTATGATTCCTTCATTACCCCTTTACGCTGGAGAACCTCCAGATTACAATCAAACACACAACCCCAATTACATCAATCATTCTAGAAGTGGTTTACGAACCTTGTGTAGTGATGGTGAAAAGGTAAAGCCGTAATGGTCATAGAGAAATTATACCTTATATAGCCATCATGATATTGTGTTATTTTGGTCTACGGGATGCGTCTGGCTATGCCGACCTGCTGTCAAAGACGCACTAAGAGAAACATTCGAATAGGTGACTTCTTGAATCTTATCGGACATATAACAGAGACCTGAAGATATTCAAGACTAGTTTAAATAGAATTCCGAGGAGCTAGATCATTTCATAGACAGGGAACTCATACTAGCGTAATGTCTACATTAGAGATTATCGCTTTCTTTCAATTCATGGAGTTCCATTTCTGCCTAGTGAACAAAGTCTCGGAGGAATAGAATTACATTTCCCCCGCCATAAATTACACCACAGTTGACCTTTCAATTGATTGGCAATATACCTACATACCATCCCGAATCATTGCATTGATCAGTCGAACGTGGCGATTGGCATTCGTTTCGCTCCATTCATTGTCGTAGTTGAGCCCATATGGCCAAATGTGTGAGCCTCCGCAATTGATGACCGCACCAGCTCCATCCCAAGACCGAAGGAGTGGCAATGCGCTCGCCCAATCGCCTGCAGCACACTTGCGGTCAAATTCGGCGGTCTGACCAACACCCAAGGTGTGAGAGATTTCGTGAAGAGCAGTGCGCTCGTTCATATAAGCGCGGTTGGTGCCAAAACGCACGTCGCCGTTGTAGTTTGCCTCTGCTGTCGGGACACCAGGAGTGTAATAGACACGCAGGTTCTTTATTGCGCTTCCAAGTCTGGAATGGCGAGCAACAGCAAGGCGCATAGCAGCCTCAGTTCTGTTGTAGGCGTCTGTTTGATCGGCCGTAGGATTCGTGACCTTTTGGACAGTCCATGTGATGGCACTTTGAGCAGTAGCGGCGTAGGCCACGATGGTGACGACAAGTGACAGCTTCATGCTGAGTAGATGGTGTAGCTCAGGAAGTGATTAGGTAAATCCGAGATGGGTTTCGCGGCTTTGAAAAGAAAACCAGAGAAGAGAGGAGACAAAAAGGGCAGAGGTCAAGCGGATTGCCAATATTTTCCTAGACCACCAATGCTCAGGCGGCGAACAATCAGACCCTAATATGCACGCATTTATGTGGATGATGCTTCTGCCTATTTAGTATAACTATGATTTTAACCTAGGACTAGTTCCATCGCCAGATTCGGCACCTGAAATGAAAGGTCATGGCACCATGGTGTCACATGGGCCGAGGGCGACTATATCAGAAATGATTTTCGTCGCTTACTCCCTGGTCATCATGCAAGTCGGGTCTGCGGTTGCCCTTCGTGATAGGCCCGGATCTGTGTTCCTGCAGCAGCGTGATTTGCGGCAATATCGATACAACGCTACATGACCCAAAAAGCGACTTGACCCGCGGTGTGTACACTTATCACCTTTTATACGTTACACTTCTCCGCATGTGCCAAGACCAACTGCCATTCTGGGAGAAAGCCTCCGTCAACAAACTGCCGGCAAGCGTTTAACCTTATCTTTCACCACCTAAACAAAGCCAGGCGATATTGGGAAGCAGGCTTTTGGAGGAAACAGCCACTGGTAAATCCTGGCATGTTGCACTGGTTCATCTGGCAAAAGAAGGTTGTGGAATAAAACATGCCCGAGCAATCCCGCCAAGGCGGAACTGCTCGGCTGAACTCCACCCGATTAGATTAGCCGGACCATTGGTAAATGATGCTGTCTTAGCTTCTAAAAAAGTTCATAATGCACCCCAATTCCTGGGATTCAAAAGCACAGCGGAACTTTTGCCTCCGGAATAATGCGAGTAACATGACCTAAGTCAGTGCAACCAGCAGCTTCTGGGTTTGCATCTGCGTTGATTGGGTCGCTTGCCTTCTTTCACTGTTGTAGTAATAGCGCCCTTAGGTGTAAACGTGGTCTTGAGATTTCCAACCATTCTAATCACTATGAATGCTTGAAAACCTTCTTGACAGGATTGTATTCCTTTCGCTCTTGCAGAGCCGCTTGAGGATTTCTTAGATTGTTACTGTAAGTATACCAACCAAATAGAGGCGAGGCTTGAATTTCTGGGTTGTCTTGGAATGGGAGGCGGTTAGGGGGACCGGAAAGCCTGAAGGCTAAGATGGCAACACCGAGTAAAGAAATAAATCCTTCAATAGTAGTGTTAGTCATATTTATGTCTCAGTCTCTAGCACCATAACCTTGACTACCCAAAGTGGCTCGACTAAAGCCTTCGATCCAGTGCGACGATCGGCAAGAGTTTCTTATGCTTCAAGACTATCAAAGAGCACCCAGCGTATTCCCAAGTCCCCATCTCAACTGTTACATATAACCATGTACTCCCCGTCACCAGGACTTGTGACGTTTGAACGCTTGAACCGGAAATTTTTGCACATGCCGTCTTCATTTGTGGAACGACTTAGGCGCGCAACGTCGCGACCACAAGGTTCGCAAGGATGGCCATGGAAGTTCTCGGAAAAGGATTGCTAACCTTCATTTTGGAGGAAATTTATTGCAAGTCTCTGCATCAAATGGCGAATAACAGGAATCGAGAAAGATGGTCGAGTCATCGTTTGCCGAATGAAAATTGCGAAAGGTTATGTTGTCCACAAAACCCTTCGCTACGTATCATTGGACTTTGGTGAGAAGCAATTCTTAATAGAGTCAACTCAGACCTGTTCAATGTTGAAATGTTCGAAGTTGATGGAATTAAAAAATTCTCCGTTTTCAGGCTCGATAATGGCATTGTTCGGTTTGACCTCTGCAATCACGTCTCTCTAGATGATGTACTTAGATAGGCAATGTGTTATAAATGTCCAACCAAAGGCACCGAGGAGGGCTGTCTACATTAAACGTTAAATTGTGCCAACTGGCAAGTTATCCATTCCCTTCAACATGCAAGTTCTCCGCATACTCGACATTGTTGGAACATTGATGTCATATGACCGTTGTTGTACTACATAAGGCGTTAATTGCTGCTTGCGATTAACGGCGTCGTTTTTGCGACAACCGTACAATAATACTCAATGATTCAGCACACCTGGGACAGGGCACAGACTGTATACTCGGCCCTCGGTTAATGGTCCAAGGTGGAACTAATCTACATTCAGGCCAAACTGACGCACAAGAGTACTAGGCAGAGTAGAGTATAGCTGTTAGTATGATAGCAAAATTCTGTAGTTGGAAGGTTAATCACGTAAATACATTCTTTAGACTGGCGTGCGAGAGTAGCTGGTGGAACATTAATGGACAGACAAGAATACTTCAGAGAGCGGAGAATATTCAACATATATCTATGGGGGCTTCTTTTTTTTTTGGGGGGGGGGGGGGGGGGTTTGTTCCAGACCTGCCTCTTCTTTTGATTTAATTAACCACTCAAAAGCGAGAGTTTCATCGGTGAAGACAAGCGACGAGAGGTTTTCATAGGCGGGAAGATTTAAGAAAACAAAATCTATGATTAATTTAGTGGACAAAATATTAGATAAGGCTTCCGTGATCGCCTGGTTTATAGAACCTCCTCGACTTCACTTTACATCTTCCAGACGTGAAGTCCCTTCCGGTTTGGCCCAATCTAGCTCAGCCTTGTTGATTGCCTACGACTCGACTTTTCTCGTACATTGTCCAGGCATCATTCAAGAAAACGCCGATTGCCTACCGTACTATTGTCGAACCAAGCGTAGCCAAATTTGGAGAACCTCGCGACGACCTAGCTGCTGTACCAACAATATCGTCTTATTATTGATACATTTCGATGCCGGCGGTCCCATTACAATTCCGATGTCTTTTTTATGAAACAGTGGTATCATGGCGAGTAGACTCGCGGTTTGCTGACCTTCTCGCTCTGGTATGGACAGAGCAGGCGGCACTAGCTTGACGTCGAATGTGGCTACTTTAGACCGAGAGCCGGGACTTACTCGACGCCTGCACTATGCCCAATATGTGCCTGCATCGCTATCTTACAATCAGAGGCTCTTTTCAGGCCAACCTGGGTCATTCCAATGTGTTACAACACACAAATGGACCAGACGTTATTCCCACAACAGGCTGAGGGTTTTAGTCTAGAATGTCCCAATCGAGCTCACAACCCGACTTCCTGGCGAAGCTGTGTTCGTATTGGGATGGACTCGGCTTCAACTGGACTTGAACGATGGGTTCATTGGTTCTCTAGAACATCAAATATCCCCTCGTAAACAATTGGTGGTGCAAAAGACGGCATTTCGCCCTTGAAATTGCGCTCAAAAGTATCGAGAGACGTACGGCCCATAGAATCGAAGGCGGGTGCTCCTAGCGAAGCGGATCTCAGCTCCCGAGGCTCGAGCATGCCCATTCCGATCTCCATTGCACCAGAAGCTGAGCGCTCTACGTCTAGAGCCATGTCCAATCGTGACGTGTGTCTTCGTAGCGGTCGTGACCCTGGCCAGATTGGTAATTGGTTCAGGTGTTTGGATCCCGAAACCAGTCGCTGCGTCGGAAATGGGGAAGATAAAGATGACGGAGAAGATGTAGAGCTAGGGGAGGATGACCGTGACGAATTGGAGGATAGGTACTCGACCTCGAGAAGGTGAAGCAGGTCCACGACAGTGACGCCTTCGGGGAGACTAAAATCCGGTCGGGGGATGCGTCTGTAGGTGGGCCCTTCCCGTCTGGTTCTTTCAATTGGTGGCTGCACCGCACCAGCGTCGATTTTGTTTTCTGTTGGTGGCCGAGAAAGCCAGTGACCTTTTTGAGAGTCGAGGTTCGCGGAGCAGATGGTACCATCGGACGCCTCGGGCAAGCCGCTATGCTTGTGGGCAGATTCGCGGCTCTGGGTTGTAGGGACCGTGCTCGGGCTGCTGCATGAGCCTCTGGATCCACCGTCCACGTTCGCGTCCCGGGCGCCATGGCTTCCTGTATGACCGTGTCGTCCCTGTTGCAGCGAGGGGGTCCTTCGAAATGCAGTCTGGAGTCGGAGCTTTCCTTGTTGTGACTTGGATAGTCGCCGCTGGGGTTCTTGCACAGGGTCTGACGTCCTTGGGGTCGTGAAGCTGAGGGAGCTGAGGGGAGCTTGCGCCTCTAAAGCTGATACCGCCTGGGATACGGGCACGTTGCGATGACCGGTGTGGTTCATCTCTTGAATGAGATACTGCAGCTGGGTGTCATCAAGGTCGGCAAGAACTTCGTACAAAGAGCCTAGAGAGGAGGAGGACTTGTGCTGCTTGAGATGAGAGGTGTTGGTGCTGGTACCATTGCCGATTGACGTGTTTGGAGTGTCCATGATGGCCGATCGCTGGGGACGGGGCGCGCCGTCTTTTTGTGAAGAGTTGTGTATTGGCCACACGGATAGGGAAGGGCAGAGACAGTTCCTCACACAGTTGTCGAGCTCACATTGCCCGTAGGATAACTACTCTGCAGCTTCACTCTTCCGTAGGCCACCGGCCGTTTTGGATCAGCCGTCACCTTGAGCGCAAAATGCGTGGCGCGGTTTGCCCTACCAAGTTGCGTTTCGTCCAGCCCCGACAGACACCGTGGACTATGCGAGGAAAAAGAGAGTATTAGAGTTTGGCAACGCAGGTGAACAACATTTAAGCCTGGAATGTAGTCTGTCACTTGCGATTCATGAAGTGGTCATCAGACCAAGCCAATCTTAAACCTTGAGGAACAAAGAAAAAGGGGCTAAGTCTGGGTAATATATGTGGCGCAGCTGTTACATAATTAAGAGTCTGTGGCGTCTGTGGCGCTTGCGGCACTGCTGGATCCTGTGATTTGCATTTGTCCACGTGACTCCGGTCAATCAGGCCTCAGGAGGAGAAGCAGGCGCTGGCTCCTTTTGCAGTGCGGTGGACCCCGTCCTGTATCACGTGACTAATTCGCTCTGCCGTATTTCACACAAGAGTGCACTAACAGTTTTACTAAGCGACAGTGGCTCCCAGTTCGGAACGCTTGAAGATAAATTCTTTGTTGAATACCCCGGTTCCGTTAGTCGGGATACTTTTGCGCTTTAGCAAAGTTCATTCCAGCTGCAAAGTGGAACAGCTTAGCCGCCACAATCATGCGGTCCTGCTTCGAATACTCTACTAAGCGGTCATAGAACTCGGCGAGCGGCACAATCACGCGCTCGATGCGCTCTCCATCATCCAGACGCTGCTCAGGCATCTCCTCCTCCTCGCCCAACTGAGCTTCGACCATCACCAGCTGCATGTTGGCATTGCTGAGACCCGGGTCCGCCGCTTGCGGCGGACTCACGCTCATCACACGGCAGTCGTAGCCCGTCTCCTCTTTGAATTCGCGCACCGCAGCCTGTTCAGCCGTCTCTTCGGCATCAATCAGCCCGGCCGGCCACTCTACCGTGTACGCGTCCAGTGGTGGCCGATACTGGATGACAAGCATGGTCGACGGCGGACGGGTAGGGTGCAGGAGGATATTGCCCATAGCCACGGCGTCAACGCCGGCCTTGCCTCTGGTCTTCCGTGTGGCGACCTCCCACGTACGTGTTTTGCCGATCTGATCTACGTATTCGATCTTCTTAAGAGTGACCCATTTAGCCTCCTCGATAGGGAGGTCTGAGGTCTTCGTGATGACTGGTTCTTGGGTCTTTGCCGTCATAATGGATGAAGTGTGGAAAAGAGCTTGCGAATAGGGACTGAACGGGCGGCAGCGGAGTTGTAACAGACTTGGCATATGTGAGCGAATAGATGGCATGCGCATGCTTCTGTTTAACCTACTTACGAGCAGTGAAGCAGAGTAAGAGTTTGTAAATGAAGAGCAACTTTGAGGTAATACGACTAGCGCGGGGATGATGCGATGAACAAATACCGATGCTGAGATGACGAATGGTTTTGTGGGCCCGCTTATGTCATCACGCCTCATCACCGCACCGTCAATGCGGGTCCCCTCATTATCACAACAATTCCATTACCTTTGAGGTTATGGAACGTCTCTGTTACCCGCTGCCATAGGCTTGCTTGGCGTTGAGTATTTCAGCGAGACTGTCGAGAGATCTACGAACAAAGCTATCCGGCATGGTACAGTACTACTTGTATCACTGGGATCGAGCACACAATCCAGAGGTGGCAGCGCTAAGAACAGAAGAGAGGAGAAGAAACTTGAAGCAATACATGCTAGCAATGGTGTAACAATGAATTGCCCGAAGTTATTTCTTCTTAAGACGCGTCGTCTTGTGTTCGGCGAAGGTGGGTTTCGAAACCAGTGATTGTACTAATCGTCACATCAACTGCGACGCTCCTACGTTGAAGTCGAGAACGGACAAGTCGTGAGCGCGTTGAGCACCTCACAACTAGCAAGGGATAGGGAAACTTTAGATTTGTGAAATTGGCAGTACAAGGACCTGTTAGTTAGTAGCGCATCAATATTCCATCATAAACTCATTCGCTTATTGGTTGCGACTCCTCTGCAATGAATACGTGGGACGAACCGTGTCGTTTTCTGCTAGGCTTTGAGATTTTCGTAGCGAACACGAATAATAATCAGCTCGGTTGAAGCTCCCGGGTGTCTGTCTGGCTGTGCTGTCTGCTGAATCTTCATCTTGTTTGACGTTTTAGATACTTGCCATCTCTTTTTCATTATCAAAGCCTCTATATGACGTCCATATTCTCAATTCAATGCTTTGCACAATTGCAGACCTCTGGGTCATCCACAGACACGTCAACCTACACGGTATTATGTCTTATCACGCTAACCTGTAATGCCTACCACTTCGCCCGCCCCACTCTCCGATGTTGATCGACATGGCCATGACTGCAGAGTTGGGAATTAGTATACGGAGGAGCCTGTCAATAGTCCTTGCGAAAGATGCCAAGGCGCTAGAGTCACTGTCGCCTAGCCAACACTATCAGTACAGCAAGCTACATCTCAAGTCACATGATCGTCAGGCTGCCTCTGAAAGGGCCCCTGTGAAACGAGCGATCAGACAAGCTGATAATGCCCCCCCCTTGACAACCTGAGAGTACCGTGCGCGCTGGCCTGTGCAGGCTTGACCTGATAATAGATATAGATAATAAGGCTTTGTCTAATAGATAGGTAGGTATATAAAAAAAAAAATATAGGTTATGCCCTATAGAAACGTTTCTAGACTAATTAGGAACTAGTATGTAAAAGTTTTTTTAGGGCATATACACTAGAAATATTTTTAAACTAATTAAGAACTAGTATATAAATATTTTTTTAGGGTATATATACTAAAAACGTTTCTAAACTAATAACTATCTAAATAAATAATTTTCTTTATTCTAGTAAGGTAATTATACTACTAGTTAATAGTTATAATATTATTAAGATAAAAATTCTAATATAAATAGGCTAGAAACGTTTTTAAAATATTTCTAGATATAATAAAAATAATTTAAGAAATATTTTAAATTTTTTAGTATTAAGAACGTTTTAGAAACGTTTTAAAAACGTTCTTACTAATCTTATTAGTATAATAGTAAGTTTACTATAGCTAAATATAATAAACTTAATAAATATTAAAAAGACTATATTATTCCTAATACTATATATTTTAGAAAATAAGTTTTATAATTAAAAAAAAAGTTAAGATATTATTAGTAATAATATTATATTTTTTAGATATTTAAGTTTATAATAAGAAATAAATTCTCTTTAGTAAGATATTATTTATTAAGTAAAATATTATTTTCTTATTAGAAGTATATTTAAAAAACTAAAAGAAAATAATAAATAATAGAACTATAAGATATTAAGCTTATTTTTATCTTAAATATAAAGCTTATAAATAAGAGATTATATTCTAATAAAGATGTTCTTATAGTTAGATAGATTTACTATCTTATAGGAATCCTAAAGATACTAAATATATTAAAGACTAGTATTATATTTATTATTCTAATAGAGTTATTATTATAAAAAGTAGTTAATATACTATAAGATACTATATATTTTACTATTCTTTAGATAAATAACTTACTAATCTAGTTAAAAACTTAGTATAATATAAAATAAAAAGCAGCTTTATTTCTAACTATATATATAGCTCTTAAAGATATACTAGTTATATATTATACTTATATTTATACTAGTATTAAAGTATACTTATATACTTCTATTATAGACTTTTATTACTTTAGCCTTACTTTAAAGTTAGCTAAGTAAATAGAAGCTATATAGACTAAAGTAAAAGAATTTACTATTAAGAAAAAAATACTAGTATAAGTAAGAAGATTTTTAAAATATTTTTAATTAGTTTTAAGTAAAAACTAAAAAATAAGTAAGATAATATATAGAATATATACTAGATTTTAGAAAGGTCTTATATATAATACTTAGATTAAAACCTATAAGCCTAAGCTAAAAGAATTAAACTATAGTATAAGAGTTATCCCTTATATTAAGAGATAAACTAATAGAGTAGGGTAAGGCGATTAGCCTAAAGCAAGATAGTATATAGGCTAATTAGAAGATCCTAATCCTAATTAAGTATAGAGATATAAGCTAGCGTTAATAGATTTAGAGATAGATATATATAATTTATCCTTTATACTTATACCTACCTTCTAATTAAACTAGAGCCTCTTTATAATTTACTTTTAATTATAATAATATAAGACAATTAGAAGTAATTACTTACCTAATTAAGGTATAATTATACTTAATCCTATAGTTTAATACTTATAATTAATATTAATTCTAGATAAATTAATATAATTTATACACTAATTAGTAAGGAATCTTATATTATTTTTAGTAGTTATAGTGTTCTATATAGTTACTACACTATAAGAGTCTTTTATACCTTACGTGCTTCTAATAGTCTCCCCTTTTAGAATAGTAACTATAGGTTTAAACTAATTAGAGAGATATCTAGTTAAGCACACTAAGTAAGTTATTATAAAAAAAGTAATAATAATAAGATAATAGGATTATAAGAAGTAACTAATTAAGAGAATAAGAAAAACCTTAAAAAGATAATAAGATAATAAAGTAATAGATTAGTAACTTAAATAATAAAAATTACCTAATTATAAGACTAAGATAATAAGTTAGAACCTTAAAGGTTACTAATTTATAATAATAACTAAGATAAACTATAGAAATACTAAAGGGGCTAGATAAAGCTCTTAAAGGTCCCTATAAGTAAAGTAGTCTATTATAATTAGTTACTTATAGTTAATTAATATAAGATAGCGCCTTAAGAATTACTTAATCTAGAGATATAAAGCTATTAGCCTTAAGACTCCTTATAAGTATACTAATTTAAATAACTATTATAACTCTATAAAGAAATTATAATAAATTAAAAGACCCTCTTTCTTAAAAGTTAGTTAATAAGTTTAGCTAGGGCTAAAGATAATTATATAAATTCTACTAATTAGAGGTATAGCCTTAGTTTAGATAATAAGATAAGTTACTTTAGTACTTTTAAGAAGAATCTTAAAGAGTTTAAATTAAAATATAATTATTAAAATCTTTAACTTAATTAATAAGTTATATACTAAATAACTATTAACTAATATAATAAGTAATAACTATACTACTTTTTCTTAAAAGGCTACTCTTAAGTATACCTTAGGCTTAACCTTAAACACTACTTTAATAAAAGGGCTAGCCTTTACTAAGTACTAAGAGCTAAAAGGAATTAATCTTTTTAAAGATAAAAAGAGTAGTAATACTTCTAATCCTCTACTTATAATACCTAATTAGAAATAGAAACCTCCTTTAATCTCTTAAGAACTTAACTTTTCTATAAATACCCTCCTTACTGCTCTTACTGCCTAGATTTAGCTTAAGGTCTTATAAGTAATAGTAGATATAGTCCTTAACTAAGGAGAGAACTTAAACTTTTTTAAAATACTTCTTTTAGGCTAAAGTAGTACTATAGTCTTTTCTAGAGATAATATTATTAACCTTTTAAAAAGATATAAAAATTAATATAAGCTTATATAAGTATTATACTAATTAAGAAGTATACTAATAGCCTACTATATAAGGGGAGATTATTAAACTTTAGTAAAAAATATAATTAAGGACTTACCTTAGGTCTAGGCTAAGGCCTATCTCTTAAAGAAGTATAAAAAATAAGATACTAATTAATTTCTTAATAAGGAAAAATAAATTAAGAAGGTTATAAAAAGATTACTAATCTCTAGCTTAGACCTACACTTAGCTAAGGCACTTTTTACTAGTGTTAATAATATAATTACTAAGATAAAGTAATAAGGCCTCTATATAATTTCTAATAAAAGCCTAATTAAGGCTATATATAAGTAATTTAACGCTAAGACTATAGAAAAAGTAGTAAATAAAATAAAAATTAGCCTTTTAGTCTTTATTTAATTAATAAAGTATATAACGTTTAAGAGCAGACTCCTTAATATAATTACTTATAAGAAGAAGTATAGGCTTTTATTTACTAATAGTAAAGCTAATAGTATCTTTATAATTTAACTAGCTTAGTAATAGTTATAAAAAAACTCTACTTATTAGTACTAAGATTACTAGTAACTAAGATAATTAACTATTAATATCTAGGTTAACTAACTAGTCCTAAGTAGTACTAATTAAGACCTTACTAATAGTATAAGTAAACTTAAGATATATTAGAATTTTATTTAGCTAAGGGGGTCTAC